GAGGTGGTTTATTTGGTCGCGCGCAAAGGAACTTCTATTAGTATTTACCTTCTTTGATTCTCTTCTCTATAGTTGCTGTGTTGAAGATAAGAGGGAAACGGAGTGGAATATCCGTTACAGAAAGAGCAGGCATCATGGAAGTGAAACATTTCAATATGACCAACTGTCATTGTGGGGGAGACGGTTGCTCTCTGTACGATTGCCCCACACCAGGACAAACTTTTTGTACCTCCTCTAACACAGATGAAATAGCTGTTCAAGACATCGATCTTGACATGACATCATTTCTGTCTGCCTCGTGCGTAGACGACATACACACCACCGTGTTCACCAATACTCTTTGCATGAGTGGAGGTTCGACTTCCGAAACTGTGTCGGTCAACAAAAGCAGAGCTTCTCCTGTAATGTTTCACACTCTTAGAAACGTACAAGAGGCGTCATCACTCTCCGAAATTTCTGTTAAAAAACCATTCCACAAACCTTTACGTTCCCTAGAATATTACGAAATAAACAACAACCAATCGCCCACACATCAGGGTTGTGAAACAGGGAAACCAACCTACAGAGGTATCTGGCCACAAGAAAACATCAACTCTATGTATACGTGGTTTGATGCAGCCCACCAGACGGTTTGTGGTGGCCTTCAGTGCGGGACTCTCCCGTCTGATTCATCCAGCCAGCCGCGCGTGTCGTCACCGAGCTTCGACAACTTGCACAATGCGATCCACTCTCAAATAGACTCAGCAGAGTTAGCCATCGACGTGAATTGTCTCTCAAACTATGAACTCCCGTGTCTCTCGCCAGACTTTTTAAACTTTCATACAGGATATTCAAGCTCCGGAGAACACGAAGAATTAAATATTCCACAAATACTCACCAGAACTTCTCCTCAACACACGAATGATTTTAGCACAGTTTGGGTATCCGCCTTGCCAACCCCTTCTCCCAGTGTGTCTGCTGACCAACCCGTCACCCCTCTAACTGATGCCGTGGAGGAGTCGGATGATGATGATGATGAGCCTGATCCATCTGTTACAGTTCCAGCAGGTAAAGCTAAGGTTTTCTATATTTTACTGTAATTAAAACCTAAAGATATCATTTAGACCCATTCATGTGCTGACTCATCGTTTAGATTGAACATTTAAGAATAGAAGTAAAATCACGCACTAAATCAATGTTCATTTAACAAACAGTATCGATATATTGAATCATAACATTCCATTTCAGAATACACTCAGACTTTGATCAGGAACAAACTACTCTTACGTTTACCATTTCTAACTCAGGTATTGTATTATACATAGAAAGTATACAAAAGATGACCTAAGCCAACAACGAATTATAATAGATAATGCTAGTGGAAGTACGCTAATTCATTTTCAACTAATATTTCAGAAACTATCTTTCTTGTAAAACAGTATATTATTATTATAAAATATTCTTATTTGCAATGACACCAATACAATACGTTATTGTTTTGTTTTTTTAGTTTTCAAGAAAAACTCTGGTAAAAGTTTACAAAAGAAGGTAATAACAAACGTGCGTCAGTATAATGTGTAGCTTAAGATAAGTATTTACTGGATTGGTAATAACTTTATGTATTCTCAAGAAAAACTAATAATATAGTATAAAGGTCTCTTAACGCAGCGATTTAAGAATAACTCTACCATTTTTGAAGAAAATACTTTCAATGCAATATACACATCTCCATGTGTTTTCACTTGGTTTAGGAATAATCCTGAAAATAAAATAATGTATTATGCTAGTGTTTCTTCTAACAGAGACACTGAATGCAAGAAGGGTATTGGAACTTTAACTACACTCACTTACTTACAATGAGCATTTAGTATCACTGGTTGATAAATGCAAATGTTTATTGAGTATTTCACTTCAACAGAACCGATTCGTAAAAACAAAACTTCGTGATTTGTGCAAACATTAAACACGCTCTTTTCTGTTATACTTCAACAATCTGGTAAGTAGTTGTATGAGTTTTTCAGTAGTTTGAGATATGAATTATAAAAACAAATAAACTAGATATTTATTAAGCTTAAAGTTGGTGCAAAACCACTTCATTACATTAATAAAGCTTTCTTAGTTCATTACGTAGTTCAAGACTTAAAACATTGAATGAGTCCGAAACAGTAATTCTGTTAGTATCAGAAAATTTAATTAAAAACAAAGTTAAAAATCTTATACATACTTTTAAATAATTTAGCAATTTTCTCCTTCTACCTAAATCCTTAATACTTTGAATATTGACATAAATTTTTACTTTAGATTTTACTGTAGATAAAATATATGTATGATTGTGTTTGATCTCTACTCAAATGATTGACTAAATCTTGACTTCATCACTTTTATTTTTGCACTCAAGTTTATTCTTAACCCTTTTAATTTGGTATATGTCAATGAACACCTTAAATATTTTTTATGTCCTGCAAAATAGAAAATAAAGAGAACAATGATAACTCATTTAATAATCAGTTTTTATATAAACAAGCTCGTGTTAAAAAGTTTAGATCTACTTTCAAGGTAAGTCCCTTTATTTTAGCATAATTGTTAACATAAGAAATTTGAAGTGGATATACAAATTATTTCTTTTCTCATAATCCTACCAAGACTGAAGATAAAGGAAAACATGACATGGGACTAATTGATTACGTTTTTTTTTTCTGAACCGCTTCCCTACTTTGAAGTAAAACATATTGTGTAAACATGAAGCAATGCATTATACTACAGCGTCTTATCATTACTGATATTATGCAAGAGAGATTTTCCTAGACAGAAATGACTGTGAGGTCCGTGTACGCTATATATTTCATAGCACAGCTTTGCTTTACGTGAGGTCATGTAACCACAAGTCACATTCACACAAAGATATACAACAAACTGCATTAAACTTAAACTACATGCTTCAAACGATTCTTACTAGTGATTAGTAAAAAACAGAATCCCGAGCGCGAAGATTGTTGAGTATTAGTTATATTGCAATGCACAAAGAAAAAGCTAAGCCTTTGACCTGTCATTAAAATTAAGAGGTTTTGTTATTAATTTTTATTTGTACGTTTTCATTTATAATATACATTTTACTTGGATTTCTGTTTGAAGAAACATTAATATGTTCAGCTACGTCCTTTGAAAAGTGCTCACAATTATAAATTTGAAAAACAGATAATAAGGTACGTAGTTAAAAAACACTGGCTGTATTTATATCATTTTTACATTTCCTTAATGCACCTCCGTGTACTACAGAGGGCTGAGCATGTGACAACTACCACAGATATAAAGTCGCGGTGGGATGTAATGTATCAGAACTACATTTTGATATAGTTAAGGGTGTTGTAGGTAGTGTGATGCCAACAAAAATTCATCACTTTTGGAAAGAATGTGTAATAACAAAATATTCGTACACTCAGATCATAAAAATGTGTTTAAATAAAGAATTTAGGACTTCCAAGACGGGGAAATCTTGTATACTTAATGATATTGTAAAACAAAAGAATATGGGTCTCTTTGGAAAAAGAGGACCATACAAAACGAGACCTGCAACGAGTCATATCTTATTCGTGATATGCAAAGTGCAGCTTCTTGTATCAGGTAAGGATCCGCGACAGTAAAAGTCAGTAGCAAAAGCTGTCAATGATGCGTCCCAAGCAACATTTCACTGTTTAATGAAGAAGGATCTACGTCTTAAAAAGCGATAAAAACAAAACAAAAACACATTCACACGACATATTCGTTCAACCATTGTTTAACCCCAAACAGTTCGCGAATGAAACGGGTATTCATGCTGTTCCACACGAGAACGTACCGTTGAATCGTCTATGTTATCTGATTGTTGAAATGGATGCTGGGAAACCGTATACTAGATGGATTCTAGAAAATATGCAGAGTAGAGTTGTATACTTTCGTCATGACAACTTTGAGACGGAGACTTCTGCAATAAAATATACGTTACATAACTATTGTCAAGCAGCATGATGAACAGATAGAGTATGACCGGATATGACGACACTGATTATAATGATGTGGTGAAATTCCAAAATCGTTTTTATATAACACATTCATACTCTGTATAAACTGAACTATGCACTTACTGGAAAATAAATTTTGCTTCAAAATAAAGATGGATTATCTTAAGAAAATAGATAGGCACTATTGATGCAAACCAAGAAAATATAGTTAAATGGACTTGCCTCTTTTTTCAACTGTTGGCTAAACGACAGTGCATTGAAAAATTACGTGGCCTGGTGGTTAAGGCGCTCGAGGGTCTTGGGGGTGTTATAATGTAACGATAAATCCCACTATTTGTTGTAAAAGAGAAGCCCAAGAGTTGGTGGTGGGTGGTGTTGACTAGCTGCCTTCCCGCCAGTCTATCACTACTAAATTAGTGACAGCTAGTGGAACTAGCCCTCGTGTAGCTTTGCGCGAAATTCAAAACAAGCAAACTTGGAAAACTACGCCATATTTTGTTATTGTAGTTCGTACGCTTTCAGTATCTTTTAGAACAACTAACTACCCACAGTTCAAGATTATCTGCATTGGCAAAGTGTTTTTTGTTTGGAAGAATCTCTTTCGTAACCATAATCCATACTTTTTGGATAAGTGCTTTGTCCAAGATTGGCTTGTGATGTGGTTTTTGAGTTAGTTGTTTTCCCAGATTCCTCCATCCATAAATATACCCGTGATGTCATTGCACAAAAAAATGGTCAGGTATCTGTTCTGTAACTAAAATGTATATGTTTCAAACACGTCGTTATGACTCTAATCTACCGTAACAAGCCATTGCATTAGCATATGCAAATCGATTTCCTAAAGTTCGATTAACTCCGTATAGTAATGTAAGTATAATTTCGTTGAATATATATATTTGGAATTTTTTATGGAAAAAAATGTGCCATTTTTGTTTGATCTTGTTGTTTACAAGTTTTTGTAATAACATATTCTAGAAAATGTCCGCAGTAAACGTTTAAAGGATCTTTCATTGAACATGTCTAGTTTCACAGATAATTTATAAGACAGTAAAACCAACATTTGAAATTGAAATAAAAAAATCTGATTATTTCATTTCTAATAGAGAACGTTTAAAATATATATTTTCACTTCTTTCACCATAATACACTTGAGATGTCCAGAGTATTAAGAAACAAACTTTTTTGCAAAAGAATGGATATTTATATATGAAATTATCTGTGTATTTAACGACATCAACAGCTAATAGTATAGAGGTTCAAATGGGATTCTGTACATAGGTGCCAGAGACTGGGAAGGCAATAAGGCGTTGCCCAACCACTTTTTAAAAAGGGAGCCTTGCCCCCCACTTTTAACAGTAAGAGATAGATTTTTTTAACGAAACTTTTAACAATGTATGCTTGAAAATTGTTGTAATTCTAAACATTTCTATCTACTGATAAGTTGCATCTGCGCAGGCGGGAAATTTATTTCCTCATCTGAATGGGAATTTCAATAGTAGATCAAAAATTGAGATTTAGGACTAAAGATTCTATTTGTTTTTATTATTTCATCCAAAACAAGTATTAACCAACTCATATCAAAAGAAATTTTGAAATATCAACATTTCAGATATAATTTTATTTTGAAGTCAATTTCTGTGGATACATCACACTTAACTTTTCAAGTTGATGTCATGATGCTGCACATTTCTTTGAGACTCAGACAGTATGCGATAATGCGATGGACATCTGAAAATTAATTCAGATATTTACTGGAGTAACAGTTATCGTATCTGACTTGTTCAGGAAAATTTAACAATATGTCGTTTGACAGCACCTCCTCCCTCTCCCACTTTTGTAGTTTTTCTAGTGTCTTGTGTTTGGAATGCTATACCGCTTTAGGGATATGTGGGGGGAAATTTCAAAGTTTGCTCAACTACTTTCATTAACATATAGAACACATTCAATGTGCAAATATCTGTTCTCTGTGTGTGTGTATGTGCATTTACAAGCGGGAAAAGTTAATATCATACTTTAAACAGTAGTTACATCACATTGTAACTTTGCCTCCAAAGTTATGGATTGTTTCTT